GAGCATAACGGCAACTGCTCAAAAGAAAATAATTCATTAATCATAGTTTTAACAACCAAAAATTCCCCTATATTTCATCCACTCGTGTCGATGGTAAATGGTAGTGGCACGCGCTAGGGGGCTCGATTCATTTTATACTGCGACTCTTCTAAAATAAAAGTGAATGCTTCTGCGTTTCCATTTATTATGATTTTCTAAAAATATGATTTTCTAAGAGTAAAATAAAAACCGGCGCAGCAACTCCTCGAATTCGTACGCATTTGCGCAGTAAGAGCAATGTACATTTCGTGTGTATCATTAGCAAGATAATCCAAAAAATGACGCCTGAGACGAACATCATCACGTAAATACGTCCCAAATTCTGCAATATAAAAAAATAAATGGCCAACGCACGGACTGCCCGTGCGAAGATGAGTTTTTTGCAGAGTTCCCCGCAGGTCTTTGTCGCTACTGGCATCGGTTTTTTCGGCAGATGCTTCCAGCTGAAAGAATTTCAGACTGGCCGCCAGAACTGTCAAGCAACATCCCCTCAAAATTCCAGTCTTCTAGCTTCTCACGTTCTCGAGCAATTAACTTACCCGGAATGAACTTTTCACAAGCCTGTACGTAGGTACCACGCTTATCCGCGGGCAGGGTTTGAATTCGTTAATACCCACTTAGACAAGGAACACCCCTCTGAGATTCAAACTAGCATCTCAGAACCCCGAGTTATGAATTTGTGCGGGAAAAATTTTGGGGGGCCCGTACGCGGGCACACGCTTACCCGGGGGCTGGATTTGAGCTCATTAGCACCTGCTTGGACGGGGAACATTACCCTAAAAATTTCAGCTCTCTAGCTTTTCTGGTTCGCGAGTTATCAGCTTCTCCGTAAAAAACTTTGGCGGGGTCTTACATGGGTACCACGCGCGAAAGACCGCCCATTTTGGGGATAGGGGCCCGTACGTGCATGTAGATCAAGTCACCAAAGTTTAAGCCCCGTAGCTTTCGCCGGTCTCGAGATGAAAAATCGGTACAGAGGCCCAGCGCACACACAGACACACACACACAAACACACACAGACAACCCCTCGTCAATATGCGTTTTCGCATTGCATTGCTGCAAAAAACGCATAACCCAGGCTGGAACGCACCAGGCGGGCCGGTGCG